CGTCAGACGGAAGAGAGAGACATCAGACACACCAAGACACACGGGACCAGCTCATCACCAGTCCGCCCTCTGCACCAGAGGAGACGGGGGTCTCTTGGGGGTCTCACATCTGCCTCCCTTAGTAAACCCACGAGACAAGACCCCTTTCATTACCCGCCCTAAGACCATCCCCCCTGTCATTGATATTCCCTGGCAAACGTTCACAATATATAAACATACATATATATATATATATATATATATATATATATATATATATATATATATATATATAAATATATATATATATGTATATATATATATATATATATATATATATATATATATATATATATATATATATATATATATATATATATATATATATATATATATATATATATATATGTACATATTCATACACACACAATATATATATATATTTTTCTTATATGAATATATATATATATATATATATATATATATATATATATATATATATATATATATATATATATATATGTACATATTCATACACACACAATATATATATTTTTTTCTTATATGAATATATATATATATATATATATATATATATATATATATATATATATATATATATATATATACATGTATACGCACACATACATATATATATGTATATATATATACACACACACACACACACACACATATATATATATATATATATATATATATATATATATATATATATATATATATATATATATATGTATGTATGTATGTATGTATGCATATGCATATCCGTATCTGTTTATCTATCTACCTATTTATCTATCAATCTGTTTATCTATATCTATCTATCTATCTATCTATATACACATTTGTTTGTACATGCGCATGTGCGTATTCGGTATGTGCGTCTACAGCTTTATTCATATTTCAGTAAATACGATAAGCATGAGGGGAGTTTCGAAGACGGAGCCGATTCTGGGTCGAGAAACCGAGACAGCGAGCTCTTCTGTCGACCTACATTTAGACAAGAGGCCCATAAATTGGTGTACACATTATTACGCGCTCATTATAACCAAGCAAAGGGTGCGGAGGACACAGCGGCGCCTAAGGACCCAGAGTGAGACCTCTCTAGCAAGGATCTCAGCATAAAACGGGAAGGAATTTGCGGCTAAATTAATCTCCAGACCATAAATACACGTGCGAAGTGATGCTCTTGTTTGTATTCGCACAAAAGCATACAATGTACAATATATGAGGCATAGAGAGAGACTTATTGTTAGAATACGCTATTAGAATAAGGGAAGAAAGAAATACGTATTGTCGATGAAAACCGAAGGTTGATACATTTAACAGTGTTGTCTGCCTCTTCATAAAAATAGAGCCATTTAAGAGGCACTTCTGAAATATCTGGCGAAGGTACACTTACCATTATATTTTAAGTATACATAGTACAGGGTAACCAAATGTTGTTACTTGTGGAAAAAAAAACATTATTGTATCTACACATTTTGGTCTGTATAGTGTGTAGGACGACTGCAAGTCCTATTTTTATGAATATTTTGTTCTCGCAATCGTAATGCAACCTTCTCTGAGTTCAGACGAGGGAAGGAAAAAATGACAGTTGCATATCGCAACACCAGCCCACGTTGGGAGTATATAAAGGGAAACCCCTTCGGCTTGCTCTTAGTGCACCCTCCGCCCCAGCGCTGACTTTCCACATTCCGGTATATAAGTTTGCATCCCTTTCGGTTATTCTGTTTTCTTTTTTTTGCGAAACGGTTGAAAATGGGGGAAGAAAATTAATGTTGTTCTGTTCTTATTGCTGTTTTTTGCCAGTTCAAAGTAAGGAAAATGAGAAGACATTAAGTGGCGCATCATGGTGTGATCTGTAATGTTATATCTACTGTATCTATGCCTATCGGTGTAAAGCAAATTTAGGATTGCTGCTAAACCATTACGTCTGCTTTGTATAGGTAAATCCATAATTAATCACAAAACTTAAAAAAGAAAAACGAATCTTGTAGCGATGATTTTAATTTTCATTACCATTATCATTACTGTTATTTACGGAGCTCGTGTGAATTTTTCTTAGATCCCGAAATATCGGTTGTTGTGCTAGGCCGTCGTGAGAAGTATGGCAGTGTAATAGTCTGTAGGGCTGGCGTAATGACATCAGTGCTGGTAATAAAAATTGTATGCTCATGATGATAATAATGATAAAGATAATAATTATGATAATGATGATGATGATGATAATAGTGATAATAATGACTGTAAATATAATAACGGAATCCATAATGATAATGATAAGGATGATTATAATATTGATAATGATAATAATCACAATAACATTAATGATGATAATAAAAATACTAGGAAGAATAATACTAATAGTAGTAATGATGATGATGTTGATAATAATAATGATAATAATAATAATAATAATAATAATAATAATAACAATAATAGTAATAATTATAATGATGATAATGATAATAATGATAATAATTATAATGATGATAAT